ATCCCCGAGGTGCCGGGTTCAGGCCGTTCTGAAGCGTGTGTGATGTCAGAAGTCAGTAAAGTAGCCCCGAGCAGGTACTGGAGTGGGTCGCCAGAAGTTAGAAAAAGTGTTTAAAAGTTGAAGAAGTTTCACAAAAGGCCGCGGAGAGCTAGTGAAGCCAGCCCAGGGATATAGCTGTGGCTCAGGGCACCTCTGAGAGGCGCTTTGGAAAGGATTGGCATAATGAAAGATTTAATCTTTACTTGCCCTAGCCTTACGAGCTCTTTTCACTAACGGGAATTCTTCCTCATTGAGTCGAGTCTTGTAGCTACACCGGTGTGAGCAATGGTGCGCGTTAAGGGCTTCAACAGGTATTAAAGCAGCGAGATAGAAGGCTGTTACTGAAAACTGTGCTTTCCTGCAGGTGTGGCACACCTTTCTCTGGTTTGTAAACAGTTTTGTAACTTGAAATTTCTCTCTTGCTTGCTATGCTGGCACTTGATTTTTTGCAGGGTTTTAGGAATATTTATGTGAATTTCTCAGAGCCATGCTCAGGTATCTGGCTACACTGTATAATCTGTCAAATTCATTAGTTGTTGGGCTTGTTGCTGATGGATTCCTATTTCCTGATTTTGCACATAATAACTTGGTCTGTATTCATGCTTGGTAACTGTTGAGTTATATCAGGAGTTGTTTTAGCACAGTATATTTAAAATTTGAAGGCAGGCCACGGGTTGTGTATGTATGCGTTGTGTGCACAAGTTTGCTGGGAATTTGTTTCTTAAATAGATTTTTTTTTCTCCCTCTTATTTATTCATCAGCCATCTTTTTTTAAGCTGTATGATAACATAGAAAATACTTTGTAGTTGATTCTTTCTTCTATTTTTTGCATGTTGTGGAAATCTTTAAAACCTTGGTTTTGCTTATGCTCTTGACAGATGACACTCCCAAGACACATTAGCTAATATTGCAGACATTGGCAAAAAAACTCGGGTATAGATGATGTGTCATGCAGAGGTATTTTATGCAAAATAATGTTTCCACTTAAATATGACACCACCTTCAGTTCCAGGCAGGTCTACAATTCAGTTATATTGTGGCAATATTAACTGATTGAGGGAATAGGAGGCATGTCAAAAGCTGTTCTCTAGGGAAAGCAGCAACACAACTTTACTTTTAGCCCTTTCCCACCTTGGAAGTACATTTGTATGTAGCAGGTGCACTGCACTCCAAAAGTTCCTCAGTTCATGCAGTTTTGGACAGATGGGGAGTCCTGAAGTCAGCAGAGAAGTAGCTTTTAATATATCCCTTGATCTCACAAGCTAATCTTACCTGTCTCCCAGTGCCACAGCTAGTCCTAGACAGCAAGTACATCACGCTTCTGGTGGATTAATGTCTTTCTAACTTCTACCGTGCCTTTTTTTTTTTTTCCCACCTTGACTGGAGCACTGTTTTGTGTAATGAGACCTGTTGAAACTCACCATCTGTCCCCAGAACTATGTTTTTGTCACATGTCAAAGCTACCGTTAATGTTTGCATCCTTGAGAAGTGACGTCACTGGAAGTTGATCTGTTACTGAGTCACGCATCTCTCCTTATCTTTCTTCAGGTGAAACAGATTTTCCCTTCCAAAATGACTTTCCGAGCTCTGGTTTTGTGTCTGGCTTGTGCTGGGCTTGGAAAGGCAAATGGTAAGTTGAATTTCCTAAAATTTGCTTGAAAACGGTCAGAGAACTGGTTTCTGATTCCTGGGGCTTCAGCAGTCAGTGTAAGAGGCAAAAACAGGTGAAATACAGATTGCTGGTGCCATTTGGCATACGTTAGATAGCTGAGGCATAGACACAGAGCTGACAGATGTGACAAAGACCTCCTGGAACAGCATTTGGAGGTGGGAGGAACATGCAGCATCCTGTATCTACCATGACACTGGACATCATTGTTCACCTGAGTTCACAACTTTCCATAGTGGATCCTTCCCTTGGGAACAAACCTCTCTTTTTTCTTTCCCTCCCTCTCGAATACACTGCAAACTCTGAAGCTCCGTAATCTAGAAATTCTCTTTAGTCCATTTTGCCACTCAGTTCTCTGAGAATGGCTTGCTATGCACTTTGCTTGTGCATTCAATCTTCCTCTATCTTTTTGGGAACAAAAATGGTGTCTTCGTTGAGAATGGGAAGTCATGAGCTGATTTAATAAAACTGAAGTGGGAGGTCTGCAGGGAAGGATACATAAATAGGGTGTCTTTTTCTTTCAAACTCTTTAGAAGAAAGGCAAGAGCATCAGCCAGTATAAGTCAACATAACTTCATTGATTTCTAGGAGGATGCAGGAAAAGGACTTTTTGGTGGGGGAAAGCCATAGAAACAGTAGGTGACAGGTGGAATTGTTGTGTCTGTGGGTAATCTATGCCTTAGAATCAGCGTTAGGCTTCTGAATAGGTGTGATATCTGCCCATTTCACTATTTCGTGTCATTGCAGTTGTTCCTCAGGCTGAACACAGAAACGTGAAGATGGGTGACAACGTGACTCTCGCCTGTGCCCTGACAGAACCCAAGGATGTTCTGCAAGTGACATGGCAGAAGGACTCTGAAAAATCACAAAATAACATAGCTACGTACAGTACCATAAATGGATTAAAGATTCACGAGCCCTATCAAGACCGAATGAATTTCACGAGTCTGGTACTCAATGAGACAAGCATCACTTTCTGGGATGCCAGAATGGATGATTCAGGGTGTTACACGTGTCTCTTCAATACTTTCCCTCATGGCTCCTTCTCAGGACGTACCTGCCTGAGTGTCTCTGGTGAGGTTCTCTGCAGTGATATATCTGTAGTGGAAAAAGAGGCCTTTTTTCACCCACAGCATTTCCTTAAATGAACTTGGGAACTGCAGTGGTAGGAGCATCCCTCAGTGGAATATGGTCTAGGAACAGAGCGTTACTGCTGTGAGCAAGACTCTCTGGGGTTATATTCAAGCCTGTTGTGGTGGTTTTGGCTCTGGGCTGTCCTTGTTTTTTGTTCTGTGAATAGCAGCTAAAAAAGCAAGGAGTGGGATCCTTCTTTCCAGCAGTCCCAGATGGAACTTGGGCAAGCCAGTATTGCATGTCGCAGTTTCCTCTTGGTGCCAGGTAAAACCCCAGTGCTGTGAGCTGCTGTGACAAACACTACAGGGGACTGACGGGGGATTAGCAGATAGGAGAACAACATTCACCACAAAATGGTTTTACTTTAACAGTTTATTTTAAAACCTGGGATTTCGGGTTGAGTGAAGCCTTTGAGTTATATAACTTCAGCATAAGGGAAGGAGTATTGAATCATGGGGGGGACCTGACCCAATGAACTCTTCTTGCATTCTTGTGCCGTGGGGCTCAGTGTGAATCCAGTAAGCTTTGCTTTGATTGAAAATGGTTAAACTGCTATTATTACTGCTTATGACCAGGTGCTCAGTGTGTTGATGGATTTTCTTATTTGTGTGTTGGAAGGTCTCAATGCATCTGTCCATTACAACACTTCCAAAGGTCATTTGATAGCCATCTGTAATGCTGTTGGCCTCCCAGAGCCCACCATCACCTGGAACAACTTGTTCAATTCTACTCCTACACAGAAGACAGTTAGGCACACCAATGGAATTGTGTCCATCACCAGTAAACTGGAGATCTACAACACTCAGAGCATCAGTGCACAGGATTTGTCCTGCAGAGTAAGCAACACAAATGAAAAAATGGAATTGCCTGTGGAAATGAAAGGAGGTAGGTGAAACAATACAAGCTACTTGCTAACGTTCTCTTGGCCTCCGTGTTTTGCAAAAGCATGTTTGGATAGGATTCTGCTGGGAAGAGGAGGGAGTGAAATGTGAATGTGCCAAGTAAGAAGAAAGGAAATCCTACTTTGCATTTACTGCCGTCTTTGAGACAATAACAAGTTGGGGTCCTTTCCAAGAGGGGGAAAAAAGCCAAACTAATCATCTAGGGAGCTATGGGTTTTAGAGGCACCATGTGGGTCTTCGTAGTTTCTTTAACAGTCCAAAAATAGACATAAATAGAGTAAAACCTCTGTGGGTCACTTAACGAACACTGAAGTGGAAGTTCAGAAATTAATAATAAACTATTTCTGAATAACAGTTGACCAAACGTGTCAGTTCAAATTACTACATGTTTTTATACAGCTAACCTGTGTGTTTAGTTTCTCTGACATTTTTGCGAAGACACATATGCATTGCAGTAGTGGCCAGGGAGGAATAGTGTTTTCAGGCAGACAGGAAAGTGATTACTTGAAGATACTTACATTGGTTTTATGGGGAAATCTTAACTACATCCGTGTAACATCTGCATACCTTGTGGTGCTAATTTGTTTATTCTAGCATTCTGTTCTGCTGGAAGGGCTTTCACCCCAGTCTTTAGATGAGAAATAGAAATGTTAAAATCTGAAGTACCATTCTCAGTTCACACAGGAACATTGACTTAGGTTTTTTAAAATTCACATGTCTCCAAATCCAGAGCCTTAAAAGGAAAATGACTTGGAAATTAGGAAGACAGGAAAAGCAATTTAGGATTGTGGGTTAATTCCCAAATTACTTGTTCAAGAAGTGATTGTTATAGGAATAGTAGTAAAGAGTAAGATGTGACTTTTAATATCTCCTCTCTAAAAGTTCAAAGGCAAATTATTTCTTAATTCTGAGTGATAATCATTGAAAAAGCATAATAAATCATTTTGTCCTCTTTCAAATGCAATATTCTTTTCTTTTGGCCTTTTGAAAAGGAAATGTGTATCTCCAGAAAGCAGGAAACAAAGACTTGTTATTCCTTGCTAGGAGACTGGAAAATCAGCTAATAGCTTGTTGTTTTAACAATCTTATCTTTTAGACAAAGAGAAATTCAAGTGAAGAGTTCAACCGAGCTTTGTTAAAAGAATTATAGTTTTGGATTGATTCAAATAAATTTTAATTCCGAAGGTTTTCTAGCTAAAATCAATGAGCACTGAAATGAGCCTTTGTATTATTGCTTTGATTAATGGCAGTCCAATGAAGTGGCTAATGTGTAGCCAGGGAGGGACATTTATGCTCCGATGTTGGGTAGAGCTACTTGCAGGCATCAAAACATAGCCTGTCTTCTTTTCTGAAAGTTAATTTATGCTTTGCGACAGTGACAGGTGTTTAACAGTAAAAGGAATAACTTTTTATTTTACAAACAAAAGCCTCAAATTCTGGATGAACAAAAAAACTCTTCAGAAAGTGTCAATACTTAAAGTTCTGCTCATGTACACATGTCAACTACTGTGTCAGGTATGCGAATGACAGTTTTCTTTGCCATGGATGAACATCAGCACCTCTTTTCTTCACAAAGCATTTTCCGTAGGCAAGCAGGCTTGTCTTTGAAGATGCACACATTCACACTCTCTTATGAGCAATTGCTGCTTTCATGTAGCTTAGCAATAACTTTCACAGTCTGGGTGAGGAGCCATTGTATTAATCAGACATCCTCTTGGCTCTTTTTGCTCTTTTTCATTCATAAACTATCTTAGTTCATGTTTTTTTTTCTTTTGTTTTTACAGAAGAGGGATCCTCGTTGCTTTGGCTTGCAATTACTGTGGGGATTTTAATTATCATAGCTCTGATTCTGATCACACTGTGCTGGAGGAAGAAGATATGCAGGAGAGGTTGAAGTGGTGAGTCACTGATGCATGGAAACCAGTGTTTTTTGTAGACCCCATAATAAGTTCTGGTCATCTCCAGAGAAGAATTAAACTTTGAGAAACCATTGGAGTGTACGAGACTGTCGTAATGGACAAGTAAACTTTACAATAATGTGTTTACAGTTATTAGAGGTTGTCTCAGTTGCATGTAATTTCAAAAGCTGTTTTCCCACTGCTACTGCTGAGGGACAAGACTACAGATTGTGAGGGGAGGATCCAAGCAGAGCAGGACACGCAGAAGTAACTTACTAACTTAAAAAAAAAAAAACATTTTTTTTTTAAAAAAATTGTTTAAAAATTGTTTAAAAAACATTTTTTTAAAAAAAACCACATTTTTTACATTTTCATGGGTGACCACAAAAGTGTTGCGTTTAAGTATGCTCAGAGAACTTTTGGCAGAAGAAATGTGTTGGAGAGAAACCTGCTCTTGCAGAGTGTCATGGCCTCAGGGGAAGTGCTTTCTTCTGGTCACAGCACCGTCTTTGTATTTTTAAGACAAACAGTAATGTGATGAAGAAGTGCACTCAAACTTGGCATATGAGTCTGCTTCCTAATGACTGCAATTTCTCCTTAATTCATCAATGTGGTGTCCTTGTATGTGTGATGACCTGATCATGGATCAGCTCAACTTTCTAGTCTTAATTACTAATAATAGAATGAATGAAAAAATTAGAAGAGAGAGGAGGCCTTAGGCTTCAGAAATCAGACAGTTGATGGTCGTTGGTAGTTTCACTCTTGCTTAACTAGATCAAAATGCTGTGGCTGGCTTTAAATTCTATTAATGTGTGTAGAAGCGCCAGCACACGTGAACACAGTTTCTCAATATTTAGATACTTGCTTCATGATGATAAAGTGATATCAGGTAAAGAAGTGTTTCCAGGAGTATCAGACCTGTCTATTGTGAACTTAGACCTACAGCATCTACTGTTAAGAGAAGTTGATCTAGTAAATTTGCTACTGCCAGAGACACAAGAGTCTTCACTGAGAAGGAGGAGAAATTAACACTTAAACCCATTTATAACTTTGTTGTAAAATGTATGTGAGCTTTCTATTGATCCTATAAACAATTCAGAAGAGAAAATTTATGTTGAATTTTCAGACCAACCTGAAAGCTGAAGGGCAAGGAGCTGGTTCTTAATTTTTTTTTTTCCTTAAAGGATCAGAAGAAAAAGGTGAAATGCTCGAAAGAAAGATGTATCTTTTTTCTAGAACAGCCATTCCAAGCATAAATGAGATGGTACTAAGCAGACCTTGAAGGAGAGACCTTGAGGCAGAGGTGACCTGGCAGAGGTCTGAGATCACCTGCTAAAGTGGATCAGAGAGTGACCACGCAAAGAGTGCTAAAAAGTGCAGGTGCTGCCTTTCAGAGTTTCAAAGTTGCATGCCAGATGAGGAGAACCACATTGGGATGCTGTGACTGCACTTGTGCCAGGAGCAGGGGCAGTCAGTGAAACATTGCTTGGCAAGACTAGATTGTTCATGTTTCGATTAGGCTGAGGATGTCAACATACCTCTTGGCATGGTTCTGGGCCTTGGATATTAGAAGTTCCCCAGGCAATGCCCTCATGTGGTTCCAGCAATAGTTTATAACAGGACCGTCCCCAGCAGGCAGTGCTGTTAGCTTCACAGCAGGTTTCCTATGCCCTAAACCACCTGCTGGGTATCACGCTTGGAACCCTGAAGCCTTTTCAGGCATCCTTGTGCCATGTTGTGGTCATGCAAGACACTACTGTGATGCACAACAGCAGAGCCTGCACATTATTTTGGAAACTTTGAACAGAGCCCCCTCTCCCCACCTTGGAAGGAGATCACAAGTCACAGAAAAGCATAATATGTTTAAACTGAAAGCACTGTGCCCCTTCTTCCTTAGCTAGTGTCTCAGAGGCTGAACTCGCCCTGTATCAGCAAGAGAAGTGGGGTCTCATGCCCCGCTGCCTGGAGGACGTCTGGATTCCTGGCCCCACGCATGTGCTGGCGTGTCCTAGGGTCAAGAC